GAATAAAAATAGAGACAATAGAATTTCGACAGAGCTTTTTATCTTAACTCTAGAAGTGCTTACTTCTTTCTTAAAAATATATAAGAAGTGGATTCCATTAGTTAGGATTCTAGATAAACATTTCTCTAAAGAAAATTAGAATGTACATATGTTTCAAAATTTTTCTTATTTCAGTATTATGCAGTGATTGAAATTGTTAAAATTTTTCCTTCCTTTTAGAACTCTTTTCAAGATAATAATAAATATCAACAATGTGTTCATCCATACTTATTGGTAAAGAAGCTTCTATTTTTCAGCTGCTAAATTTACTCAATTTATGAAAACTCGGAATAAATTTTAAAAAAAAGGGGGGTACAGTTTTGAATCAATATATTTCCTCCCATTTGTAGACAAGCAAAATATATCTGTTTATGCAACCAATAACTGGAGATTTATTTTTCATACCCAATAAGTACAGCCATTTTTGTCCTTTCCCTTGGTTATTTCTTACAGATTTTGCTACAGGGAAACATTTTTCTAAATAAAGCTGCAGCATGTTATGATGCATTGCAAAAATATTCTGCTTCCTTGATGAAATAATAGAAGGAAAGTTGTCTGTGTACAATTTTCGAAAGGTACATGAGTATTTTACCTTTTTTGCAGACATAACCAAGATAAGAGATCAAAATTTCTTAAACTATATCTCGAAAGAACCTGAAAATCTCAGAGTTCAGCGGCAAGATGAACGAAATAACAACTGTAATCTTGCTTTGTGCTCATTGACTAATATGTGCCAGATGACCCGCAGTGGCACTAGCTGCTCATTCGAGAGGTGGAATATGATGTTTTTGGACACGTGCTCTCACTCACAAAGCAAAAACGTGCCATAATATCTCACTGATGAAACTATTCCTGTTTTCTTTTATATGTAATCCAGAGAAAAACTAAGTGATTACAGTTACAAAAATCCTTTTTTGGGAGCAAATAATGAAGTATTAAGCCCCGCTACATAAAAAATCATGAGAAATTTTAATAAGAAAAGGTTTAAAGAAATATGTTATGAATTGGGTTGACAGGAGTATGGTCAGAATCAGAACAGTTGGCAACTTTACAAAAGACATTAGTGGAAACTAACAACTTTTTCAGATAAATATATTTATTCAAACTTGGGCTACTAAAAAAAATAAAAAAACTAATGAAGTGATTACGGAATTTACTTCAAGACTGCAATACTGTAAGACTCAATTTAAAGATCTATTTCCTATTCATTTAAATAAAATATTTCTTTTCATCCTTTTATGTTAATATTAAATATATCTATATGCTACTTTGAGCAGTAAATTAAGAGTTTGTAGTTAGAAGATACGATGTAATGCTACAGAAAGCTGTACTGAAGTTATGCATTTCAGCAGAGACCTACAGATTTTATATATATAAAAAACTAAAAAAAGATTTAATATTTTTCCTGCCATCCAACCGGTATCACTGCTGCCGTGATGAAGGGTCCGGGTTTGAATCCTGGAAAAGGTATGGATGTTTGTAAATGTACGGCATGGCGGCACTCTAAATATGCAGCAAGCCGAAAGTCTTCTTGTGTGGTTTGGTGGAAGGGAAGAGGGGTGGGAGACCCTTGGACCCGTCCCCCTGGGGTGCCCTCCATCAAAACTGGAGGCGGAACTGAGCTAAATCACACTCTCACCTGAATGGTGTTCAAGACTGTTGTCAATGGTAGGCATAATCTACCGCTCCTTACCCCTTACCACGAGGAATTTCATGGGCTTGGGCTGAGCACGTCAGACAAGTGAGCAAAAACAACATCAACATATTTTTCCTTCTGAACTCAGTACTATCACAAATGAAGTAAACTGCAACTTGAGCTCTGGCCAGGCAGATGGCCAACAGATGCAGTCCCAAGCAAACTAATGAAAGTTTCTCACAGCAGATATTTGCCACATTAAAGCCAGGCATTACCTTGCTGGAAAGTCATGCTTGATGTGTTCTGCATCCCTGAAATGACCATAGGACAAACAGTCCTAATCACATACAGTACAAAGAGTAAAATCTGAAGTTGCCAGAACTTCTGTGATTAATGATTTTGGAAACATTCAAATTTATTTCAAATCCAGCATAATTACATGCAGAAATTACAAAATAAAAAATAGGAAGGGTTGTTTGTGAAATAATAAAGCATTTAAGAACTCTTCGTTAAAAAAAAAATAGTGTTATCATTTGTTTTGTTTCATTACAAATTTATTTCAACAAGAGTTATTTAAGCAATTTCATTTTAAGTGTTAATACTTTCTCTTTAATTTTATAAAGACAATTTCTTTTTGAGTAACAAATAAATTGTTTCTTGTTCAATTATCATACATGACTGTTTATGTTGCCTATGCAAGCATTTTAAAAAATATATGCAGAACTGTCCTCTCATAACCTTGAAAATGCTCCACACAGCAGGTGCTGTTGTAAAACATTGCAGAAATTCTAGGACGGTCTTGCTTCTGCATCAGTTTTAAAAAGGCTACTTTAAATCTCTATTTCAAGGCATGTAAAATTCTAATATTCACTGAGTGATTAATAGACATAACATTTTGGAGAAAGAGCAAAACGTTGTTTTTCCTTAAAACTAATTTTTATCAAATAATGGTAATAATAATAGACTAAACAAAGTAAAAAGGTGGATGAAATCAGAAAGTTACGAAGCACAATCTACACTGATAGCTGAGCTTAAATTAATCAGAAACTAATTCTTTGGCCTTCTTCCCCATTATGCCAACAAAAGAAAACCAGTATGTAAAACATTCCACTCCATACACTCATCTTTGGGACTCACTCATTTTATATAGGACCAGATAAGATAGAAAAATGGATCCTCACACAGCCATTCAAGAACCAAAAATGGAAATTTAATTCAGTAGGCACCAGGTGTTAAAAATCTGAAATGACATGTAGAATGATTCAATTTTATTGAAGTTAACCATACTTTTCAGGGGAACATCTCAGCTAATGAGAACAAAAAACTATTTATGGCACATTTGCTTCTGCTTACATATTATATTATCCATTCCTACACCGAGGAAAAAAAAAACATGTGTTCTCCTGTTTCTCCCATAAAAGAGGTCTGGATAATTGATCCTTTTGATTATTCAACATCTAGATTTTGAACTTTGTATTGCACTACTTTGCTATCGCATGACGTGAAATGTGCAAATGGGATGTCTGGTGATTGAATGTAATAACACACGAACATGTGGCACTGCTCTAAATGCCTCCACTTCCATTCATGAGTATTGTTGTACTGACAAAATTGAGATTCATCTCATTTTCTGCCATTTATTGCCCTAATTACAATGACTAACATCATGCCAGGCATACAGCCTATGACAAGTGGTTAATGGCAGACTGGTTGGCATCCTTGCTTAAAGCAATATGACCTGCTGTGGTCTGATTTGGATACTGGACTTATTCAATATCAAGCTTTTATTTATTGTTGTCATTTTTGCTTATTTTAAAGGGTACATAACATTTGGGTATTTTTCTCTATTTTAATTCCTTTCACAAAGAGAGGAAGATCATAATGTTTACAAGAATTCCAACATTTTTACATTTCTATTGAATGATTGTTACACTGTTTTCTCAAAAACAGTGACTCCTCCCCTTAAGACCAGTATCATGTTCAAGATCAAAATGTGAAAAAATGTCAATGTTGCTATTAAGGTGTTAAAATTTACAAATGTAACCAATTTTTCTTATCATCTACACACAAAATGAATACAGTCAAAAGTCGTTAATCCGGACTCGTCGGGACTTCGGCGATTCCGGATTATCGATTTTTCCGGATTATAGATCATCAGTTTAAATCTGGTAAAATGGCATGCTGAAATTATAAAAATAAAAATATGAAACCGTAATTTACGAAATAAAGAACAATTATGATCTAAAGGGTATCAAAATTTACAAAAAAAAGCTTAATATTTATTTGTTTACTTTATTAAACATTTCTTTCAATGTAAGTTGTTTCAGTTGCTTCGTTTTTTATGTGATAATGCATTCTCTTTAATTCTATAAACAGACATAATTTCTTGTTCAGTTACGAAGTTCCGCTGTTCAAGTCCTATAATTGCTGTGTCGAGAATAACGACTAATTTGTCAATCGAAATTTTTTCGTTTTCAATAACCTATGTCACTTTCTTCGCTATCGGAAGCGAATTATAATGACGAGGCATTTGATTTAAATCATATCAAAGACGGAGTACATCGAGATGAAATACTACATTGAGTAAGCAATTATAAGCCAAATAAAATAAAAACATCTGCTCTTAAGATAAGGATAGTGCTGACAAATCAACTTCCAATTCATTGCACGCCGCTGCAGCGTTAAAGATAAACAAAGTTTAGATAAACAAACGTTTAAGTTTAGATAAACAAAGAATATGCCTTTATCCATTTTTTTGCAGCAATTCCATTTTTTGTTTAATGGAATCCGAAAGATACTTGCGCTTTGTATATCCTTTACATATTAGTAAATATATATTGGAAATTCTATTTGACATAATTGAAAGTTCAAGCTTACTTTTATAAAATTGCTCTAACAGTCTGCAAAAAATAATAATCCGGATCCAACTCGAACATTAAGGAACAACGCAATCTGCAACATTAACTGAAATAGATAATTAGATAATTTTAGCTTAGCTTATCCCTTCCGTTATACATTAAACGCGCATTCGTAAACGTATTTTGCGCACGCGCACACGCAAATTCGCAGCGGTAAAGGTCTTACGCGTCAATGCGACGCATGTGCAGAAAGTTTGTAGCTTTGAGGTCCGGATTATAGATCATTCCGGATTATGGGTGTCCGAATTAACGACTTTTGACTGTATAATGCAATTAAAGACTGAAATTTAAATTAAGTATTAAAATACTATTTGATATCAAAAGTAATTCTTTATAAGAAAGCTGAAAGCAATTATTTAAACAGAAGGAAACTTGCAAGCGATAAAAGAATAAAAAATAGCAGCAACCTAAGGACTTTAAAGTCAACTGCTTTCTTGCCCCTTGGTTTGTCAGCCATTCCTTTGCCTACAAAAGAACAAATTTCCTAATTTATTTCGTATTGCAGCACACACATATACATACGAGGGCCATCCAGGAAGTAGATTACGTTTCCGTCTGTGTCCGCTAGGGGCGGGGCTAGCGCGGCCATCTTGGGGTCAGAGCGTTGCGCAGCTCAGTCTGCATCTAGCCGTGCTAGTGAGAGGTTCGTGCTGTGCTCCGTTCAGATACTGTGACGGTTTGAAATGTCTGCGTTAATTGAAAATCCCGCGAGCTGCGAGGTGCGTTCAGTAATAAGGTTTCTGACTGCAAAAAACTGTAAACCGATAGAAATCTATCGGCAGCTTCGTGAAGTGTATGGGGACAACATTATCACTGAAGGTGGAGTGCGTCAGTGGGTCATAAGATTTCAAAATGGCCGAACCAATGTTCACGACGAAGATCGAAGTGGGAGACCCAGCATAGTGACCGCCGAACTTCTCGAAAAAGTCGATGCTAAAGTCCGTGAAAATCGAAATTTCACAATAACGGAACTTTCTTTGAGTTTTCCACAAATTTCGCGAAGTTTGTTGCACGAAATCATCAGCGAAAAGCTTGGTTACCACAAGTTTTGTGCAAGATGGATTCCAAAAATCTTGACAGAGGACCACAAAAATCAGCGAATGGCTGCAGCGTTGAACTTTTTGGACGCTTACCATAAGGATGGTGACTCTTTACTCGATCGCATCGTTACTGGTGACGAAACATGGGTGAAACATGTGAACTGTGAAACGAAATTGCAATCAATGCAGTGGGGGCACACAAGTTCTCCCCAAAAACCCAAGAAATGCATGCAAACAATGTCAGGCAAGGAAGATGATGGCGACTGTTTTTTGGGACAGAAAAGGTGTAATTTTGGTGGACTTCCTGGAAAGAGGCACTACAATAAACTCTCAAAGGTATTGCCAAACTCTCCAAAAAACTCAGAAGAGCAATTCAAAACAAGCGCAGAGGAATGTTGAGCTCTAAGATCTTGTTGATTCACGACAACGCCCGGCCCCACACGGCAAATGTCACTCGTAAAGTTCTTGAATCTTTTAAGTGGGAGTTGTTTCCTCATCCGCCGTACAGTCCCGACCTGGCACCGAGCGACTTCCACCTATTCCCAACAATGAAGAAGTGGCTGGCTATGCAGCGTTTTGATGACGACGCACAGCTGCAAGAAGAGGTAACGAAGTGGTTGAAGGCGCAGGCGGCCGAATTTTTCGACGAAGGAATTTCCAAGCTCGTACATCGCTACGATAAATGCCTTAATTTGTATGGTGACTATGTAGAAAAGTAGTATTTGAGTGTGGCTTTCATCTGTATATAATAAAATTTGTTTCCTATACTTTGTTTATTTTTTTATTCCAAAACGTAATCTACTTTCTGGATAGCCCTCGTAATAGGCACAGAGGAATACACACTGAAATTTCAAATATATATATATTTACAGAATATTTATTAATATATATATCAATAAATATTCTGTAGATATTTAATGATTCTTGGTGACGCATACATAATGATACAGTTGTGTAGATTTATATGATGACATAATGAAGAAGAGCTTGTAGATGTGATGGTTGATTTCAAGATGTTATTTTATTCTTGATAACTAATTCTTAGGACGTACATTCTTGTTCACACATCATTATGGATGCGATGAACACCCGACAGTTTAATATCACTATATATATTTTACATAACAGATTATCTCTTGAAACACTGGATGAAGTAGAGAAATAAGCAAAACATGTCAGCATAACAAGAAGGCAGAAAAGTTAACAGGGTATTTCAGAAAAAAAAGGTAGAGCTGATTTTTTTGCTAAAATATTAAACACAGATTGGACAAGAAATATGTACAATGCTACTCTTACATAATGGCATGATGTATATTGATTTTTAGATGATACACTGTAAATACCAAGAAGGGGATGTGCAGGCAAGCCTCCACTTTGTATTTATGCATAGTTTTTCTTTTAATCGTCATCAAATCAGCCAACTCTTGAAAGGACTCCACAGCCAGTTTTTCTCCCTCTTCTGTGTCTGGAGTTTAGGCATGAAGGACAGGCTCTTGCTCTTGTTCCTTCCCTGCCACCATGCTGTTGTGTGTAGCTCTTCTACTGCTGCCTTGGGAACGGCATTTCGTCAACAACATACATGTCGATAAGCTGGAGAAATGTAAGATGTTTGGAAACTATTTATTTGTATTGAAAGGCTGATTCTAGAATCCACACTTATGAGCGTAAGAAAAGAATGAGATGTAACTTCGCCATTATTTTTTGAATCCGTGGACCTCGTGCTTGCGATTACAAGCCTCTTCTGACATTTCACAAAAACTTAACCTAGTGTTCATTTCAATTAGTACTTGTCAGACTATGTTTCTCGTTCTGCTTTCTCAAGACCATTTATTTTGTGCAGATTGAATTAGACTGACTTGATCCGGTGTGTTCCACAGCAGTGTATATGGATTTCGTCATGTCAGATGAAAAAACCATGTTCAGTAGATCAGGCATATTTTATGTGTGTTCTAAATATTTAATCAAGAAGTAAAATAAACGTTTGATTTACGTGTGAAATTTTGATATGATTATTTCAGCATCTGGCTTCTGATTCTGGGTGAGTTCCTAATTAAATGTTTCTTTCCTTAGGTCACACATCTCATCTCTTATTCATATGTATCAATGGGTTTAGCGAACACAACGTAATCTTAATTGATGATTTAAGAATTTAAATGCCTTACTTTTGACGGCTTACCACTTATTACAATACTTGCAACCTCATTTTAGTGGACATAGCCAAATTAAAAGGACTAATGCTAAATTATAGTTTCCTTTCATATTTTATATCTCACCTATATACATACAATACAAATGAAATTCTAAACCAATAATTATGTGCTATAAACTGAAATAACTAGTGGTTATATTTAATAATTAAAAACCATTTAAACTCAATATTTATTCAACTCAGAGTAAGAAACTGAAATTTTTTTTTTTTTTTTTTTTTTTTTTTAAATAGATTAAATTATTGCGCCAAAAATAAACATGGTCAACACTGATATTCAGTTAACAATTATATCAAAATTCTATCGAATCAACATGTGCAAAACACAAATAAATTAAGGTAAAATTAATCAAATATAATAATTATTTAATAATATAACTTATATAATACAATTTATTATTAGAAAATATAATTCATTATTGGGAAAGGTATTTATATATTATCTCCATGGAAAAGAAATTTAATTAAAGCTATGAATTATTAGAACAAATTTTAGTAAGGGTTTTAAACAGCCTTCCAAGTCAGTAAATTACTGATTTATTAATTAGCAGCTTTAGTGCAAGTTTTTGGCTTTTTAAATTACTCATAATTATTTTTACTTATACATAGTACGTATATATATACAAGGTCCGGCTATTAATTTCCAGGACTAACATAACAGTAGGAGAACGAAAAGTCGGAAGATGGCGCTAATGATTGCATATTGAAGAGCGTTTTCAGCGCATGTGCAGTGCAATTGGCGCCATTCTGAAGTAAGTCTCGTGGAAAGGCCCGTTAAAACGTAGCTCTTAAATTCCTATTGTAGAAGTGAAAATGGAGCAAAGAATTAACATTAAATTTTGCTTCAAATTGGGCAAGACAGCTGAGGAAACCTACTAAATGTTAAAACGCATTTACGGCGAGGAAGAATTATCCCGCTCAAAACCTTCTGAATGGTTTAAACGCTTTCAGGAAGGGAGCGAAAGCGTCGAAGATGATCCACACACAGGTTGGCTGCAGTCCATACACATGCCAAAACCAATTGAAAAAGTTTGCGATATGGTGAAATGTGATCGTCGATTGACTATTCGTTTACTCGCCAATGAATTCAACATGGACAAAGAGACAGTTTGTCGAATTTTGACACAAGACCTAGGCAAACGCAAGATTTGTTCCAGATTCATTCCTCACCATTTAAGGGACGAACAAAAGCAATTGAGACTGGATGCAGGTGGCACACTTATCGACAATGCTGATGCTTACCCTGCGTTCCTGGATAGGATAGTCATGGGAGACAAGTCTTGGTGTTGTCAATATGACCCTGAAAACAAGCGTCAAAGCTCCGAATGGCAGTCTCCAAATTCACCAAGGCAGAAAAAATTTCGATTTGAAAAGTCCAAAATCAAGATCATGTTAATCGCTTTCTTCGATTGCAATGGACTCATTCATCATGAACTTCTTCCTCCTAACATGACTATCAATGAACAATTCTACATAGAAGTTCTTGACCGACTTTGAAAACGAATTGGTACAGTGAGGCCTCATTTTTAACAAAATGGGAACTGGCTGCTGCTACATGACAATGCCCGCCCACACTTTGTGTTGCCTGTGAGGCAATTCTTAGCTCATCATGGTGTCGTTGAAATGCAGCATCCACCATACTCTCCAGACCTAGCACCCGCAGACTTTTTCCTGTTTTCTAAGCTGAAAAATTCGCTGAAAGGAACAAGATTTCAGGATGTCGAAGCCATCAAGAAAATTGTAACGTCACTATTACAGAGCATTACAAAAGAGAACTTTAAAAAATCTTTCTGAAATTTGTACAGCCGAGCACAGACGTGCATTACGGCTGATGGGGATTACTTTGAATCATATTAAAGGGCTATGTGTTTAACCTTTTTTTCTTGTGAGTTATTCTATGAGTCCTGAAAATTAATAGCCGAACCTTCTATATATACATTTATATTTTAAAGGTAATAATCTTCCTATATTTTAAAACAACAGTAATTTAATCATTAAAATTCTAATTTAATTTACTCATGAGTATCCAAAAAATGAAAAACTTGTTTTGAAATGTAATTTTAGCTTCATTATTAAAATTTAAATGCAGAAAATTCTAAGAATGACAGCAATTTAGAGGCAAATTTTAAAAATTCAAGATTTTATATAAGCATTTCATGAAAAGTATAAATAAAAACAAATCAGAATTTTAATACATTTTTTTAATACTTACAGCACAG